AAACAGATATTACCTTCAGTTATTTCCACACTTAATTATACCTGTTAAAATGTATTGTATACGCTTTTGTTACTTTCACTGTTCATTTTAATGGCGCATTAGAGCTGCTCCATTGCAGCAGCTCAATACTGTAATCACAAATAAAAAAAAAAAATTCTAAATATTATATTATATTATATTTTCTAAAATAATGCAGGGAACCACTCGTTACATTATATGAGTATGCTCATGCTATTTTGGTGATGTAATTTGCGTCACACGCAGTGTACACGGACCCTCGTGTACGAGTAAAAACCGAATATGCTTTGGCCTTAAAGCAAGCTAAACATCCTCAGCGCGCACACGTTTGTGTTGGTGCAGAATGAGAGAGAAACTTACAGCCTAGCGCATTTCACCCAGTCTGCTAGTTTCACTTCTGCTTTAAATAAAGTCGTGTATGCTTGACATTTAAAAGTTGTGTATGCTTGACGTTTAAAATAAATGCTGTTTAAAGTGAATGTCCCTATAATTTTGTTTGTTTTATATTTACGACTTTGTTTTAATCCAAATGCATGCGCTAATGGAGCGAACAGCAATCAAGATCATGCAACAGAAGTGCGCGCTCTCGGACTCCCATTGTTTTACTTACTTGCTTTTGACATATCCGACCGAGCTACAAACTTTCCAGTGATGTTTGTGAGATATTCACTCAACAAGCTCGTGCATCTGTGCCGCCGCGCGCTCAATCCACTCAGCGCGCTCTGCTTATCAGCTCGGGCACATCCGCTATACAGGCGTGAATATTGAATGTTTAACATTATATTAATTACTTACATGTACTTCATAGACATCCTTAATCTCTAATAACTCCATTCTACTCTCTGGTGTTCTGTTTTCAGCGTTTCTTTTTCTGGACACAGCTCTATTCAGACGCTGTTTGGTATTGGCTTTTGGTATCGGGGCATTTTTACGAGTACAAGTACAGGAGCGCAGTATCGGGCCGAATACCTATACCAGTATCGGTACCGGTGCATCCCTAGAATATTCTGTATTAGGGATGGTGTTTGGTAAATGCACCATTTAATTTAGTAAACAATACACACAATTACCATGAGTGTTTTAATGAAGACATTTACATTTTTTATTACATTTAGTCATATTAAAGACATTCAGTTACATAAAGGCTGAAAAATGCATTAGAAGAGGACTATGGACTATGGACATGGACTATATTGCTCCAGGCACTACATGCACAACTGAGGGTGATGCAGCAGGGAAAGATCAACATGAATCCTGTACTGTATTATAAGCAAGATGAGCATGGACATTACTGATGTTTAGCACCTGAAGATGACAAAGATTGGACATTTTTGACACAGAGATATCATTATTTGTGTGGCTTTTGCACCATAAACCACACACTGTTTGCACCTTGTCTTACTGAATAACACATTGACTTTGTGTGATAGTACAATGAAGTGTCACAATATGTATTGGATGTTTAAATTGGTGTCTTTGTTTACTGTCAACATTGTATTCTTGCTCCTGATCTAATGAAATATATGGAGCCCAATCAGCCCATTCCAAAAAGGCACTTATTCTTATTCTAAGATAACTATGACTTGCAACTTACTTATTAACAAGTTGTTGTCAGCAATGTGACTCAGCACAGTTTGTTGTGAATGATGAGAATAGATCTGTGTATGTTTTACTGCCCTTCCATCCCCAGGGGCCCAGTAGAGTACACAAAAGTACAAGAGAACAAAAAAAAATCAACATTTCAAATGGCTGTAAATCAAAGTCTGATTATAGTTTTAAAGAGAAATTTGGCAGGACAACTACTTATGCTACGTTAATTAAATAATGTTGGACAGAGTTTTCAAACATATATGGAAAGGTGGTATAAAGGCGTTTAAAAAAGTACTCTTAGTAAAATACCAAATTTCAACCTGCCTATTACATATGTCATGTTTAGATATACCTTTATTCAAAAAATATTGTATTTTTGTACCATTTTATTATTAAACATTTTAAACTACATTACCCATAAGCCTCTGCCATTCTATTGATAAAACGCAGTGCTGGTATTTGTAGTTTAATTAATTTATGCTCAGGGTTATGGTTACGATCTCGGGAAAGTGGTAATTTCTCAAGACATGGCAACACTGCATTGTTAACTAAAGGTATTACTGACGTAATAATAACAGCAAAGCGTACTTTGCAACGTTAAGCGTTTTTTAATTTGGGTTAAAAGATACTCCAAACACAGCGAGGTCTGCGAGTGCCAAGAGAACTTCAAAGCCAATGGCAACTCAGTTGAGCAGAGGCGTCACACTTACTTGTCCATATATGGTCATCTGTGACAGGATCTTCCGGGTTCTTGTGGTGAATGGACAGATAATCAGTTAAAGATTTATTGGTCTCCACTCAATATAAAACTGCAACAACAGATTGCATGGTGTGGTTAACCTGATGCAGCAATAGATTTGTTGATTACAGTGTTTTGTTTTGTTTTCAAACAAGGGTGTAATAGTTCCCATCATATACATTGTTTACACTTATATTAATTAATGTACAATATTTAAACTCAAACGTGTGCATATACTGTGTGAAAAATAAATAATAAATGTCAAAATGTTTAATTTGCTTACAAAAACAACAGCTCTGATAATTATTCAAACATGCAATATTTTTCTACTACTCAATTTTGCTTCTGTAACATTTACAGTGTATTTATAGTATTAAAGTATGCAATTAATCACTTATATGTTTTCTGGAAATGGAGCCTACAAACTTGCCATTCTTAGCTCTGACAGCTGAACTACAGGAATCTAAAAAAAAAAAAAAAAAAACAAGCATTAAAAATAAAAAAAACTTACAAATTTCCCAATGTTTATTGATATGTCAGACTTTTCCAAGACAAACATAGTGCCCAGAACAGCACTATCTCTCCAGTTTGTCGTAATTAATGGGTACATGGAAACAAATATGTAACTAGGAAATATGCAATATAAAACCCATTTAAAAAACATTGTCTAATATTCAAAAACAAAAAGAGAATTTGCTTACTAAAAATGTCATGAGATGCCAAATAATATTTTACAAACCAGGAGTTTCGAGGCTCCAGTTGAAAAGATATTATTTTCTTCCCTTTAACAAACAAATGGGCAAAAAATGATTAAGAACAATATTTCAATATTTTATGATTATTATTCTCCTGTAATCATTGTTTGCTTCTATTGTGACTAAATGCAGGACCAATTAAAATGGTTAACAATTATAGTAAATTATAATTTTCATCAAGAATATATCTATATATATAAGTAGACATGCTAAGAAGTTGGCAGTAAAGGACTGAGAGCAGAAGTGCCACACGAGAGAGAGAGAGAGATGTGGAAGATTTTGGCAGGGCTGATATTGTGGAGAGCTGATGGAGAAGGATTTAGTAATCTGTGAGAAATCCTGCAAGACAGGAACAAATAGAATTTATCACATGATGAACAATAAAAACATTGACAATAAAAAATAGCAGACAACAATATACTGTAACTGCAGCGTGTATAAAAGTAAACAAACCATTATTGTCTGTTGGTGTGGATGCTAAAATATTTACCATTATATTTCTTGTTCTTGTGAACAATTTAATTGATATGATTTGGCCAAATTAATTGAAGATCTGATTTGTCACGTAACAAGTTAAACTTGTCATTTCCAGACTTTTGCTTCTTAGACAGATGTGTTCAATAAAAATCAACACAGAAAGAAAGGCAGACTATGAGGTGTGAACAGATATCATGTACTGTTAGAACGAGAAGAGACGGTGCCAATTTGTTAAGGTTAATAAAGAATACAATGGACTTAATATAAACTTCATGATACAAACACTCTGACTACTTACAATGGGCACAATCTGCATGAGAGTTGAGGCAATGGCCAATGACAGCAGGAGTAAAAGTCATAGAATTTTGTATGAGTACACTTGTACAATATCATATGAATTTGCTGACTTGGTAAATTGTATGAATTATTACTACTTCTACATGACACTTTGTTGAGTGTTCTTCCTGATGGGCTATGTAAACCAAAGTTAAAGAAACATCAAATGCTGTGCAAATGTAACTACAGTAAAGTTCAGTCAAGGTGCTCAGACCAACACAGACGTACCATTGGAAGTGTTTTCCTTTGCAGCTTTTGGTCTTCTCCGTAAACACACAGTATGGCCAAATTCAAACCCCATGACAGGCCTTCCTTTGGTCTTCCCTTTCAGCTGAAACAAAGAGAAATATATACATGTTGAGACAGTGCTATAAATTTTCTGTGACCAAAATATTTGAGAGGAAGGACTATAAGAAAAGATATGATCAACACATAATATAAGGATGTGTTCATTAAAGCAAATCAGTTATTACTAAAAGTGTTCAACAAAACCTGTGAAGGGTTGAACCTTTGAAGGACTTGTTCAGCTTCTTCAAGATCAGCATTGGGAGATTCGAGTTCAAGTTCCCTGTTAATTCTAGCAGCTTTCTGAAAGAATTTATCAATATTTGATTCTGAGTTCTAAAAAATATGCCATGATGAACCACAGAAAGAGAGGCTACTATGTGTAAATGAATTACGGATTACAGTTTGTAAAAATAGGAAAGGAAAAGCTCTCAGAGAGAGAGAGAGATGGCTTCTTTAAAGAGCTGCTGGAGTATGTGATCTGATGTAACTGCAAGACAGAAAAGACAGAAAGAATTACAATGACTTCACAAAAAGGTATTAAAGGCGTGGCAAGCATTGTGGTTACTGTGCTTTACAAATAGGTATTAAAGGCATGGCAAACGTTGTGGTTACTGTGTTTTAAAAATAATATACAGTAAAAAGAGATACTGTGGTAAAAAACATGGTATGAGTTGTTGTAAGTTTTGCTACTGTGCTTTATCTACACCACAGTACCACAGTAAAACATCTCAGGTTACTTATGTAACCATGGTTCCCTGAGTAGGGAACGAGACACTGCGTCCTCTAGGGGAACGCCTCGTCGTGACCCGTGTCTGAAGCATACATTGAAAAAACACCAACAACACGTTGGCTGGCAACAGCCCATGACGTCACTACCGGTGTGACTATAGTATAAATAGTCATTGACTTCTTCATCTGAAGCTTGCGTTCGAAGCATGGCAGGAAGCCTAGAGGACGCAGTGTCTCATTCCCTACTCAGGGAACCATGGTTACATAAGTAACCTGAGACGTTCCCTTTCAAGGGAACTTCGAGCTGCGTCCTCTAGGGGTCGCTATGGGGAACGGTATACCCACGCCGCCATGCTGAGGGGAGTGCGGGCCAGAACCATGGCGAGCACTAAGTACCAACTTTACCATTTTCATGGTGAGTTGCCCCTGGGACGTCAGACGGCTGTCTGTGACTTTATCCCCTACGGCCAAAGGCCTAGGCTACATACCCAACTTACCTGTTAGGGCCAGACTCCTGGGCCCGGGGTAGAGCTCAAGGCTTGGAATCATAATGGATTCCTTTAAGGGGATACGACCAAGAACCTAGTATCACACTAAGTCTTGGCCAGTCACACAGGGGTTACCGCTTGCTCTTGCATAAGCTCTGAATGGAACTGTCTCAACAGACCTCTAGTGGCCACACCCTGTTAAAGTAGGTATCCTAGGATACCTAAGTGGAGTGGTGCCCAAGGTGAACGGGGCTTAAACCAACTCAAGAAAGAGCACGAAGCAACCACGCGAAGCTCTCACCATACAGGATTTTAGAAAAGAACGCAAAGAACTGGCGTGCGAACTTACCACAATGTGGATTTTAGAAAGTGCACAAAGCCGTTACCTAGCTGAGGGAACACAGACCCCGCTCTCAACGAGAGAGGGGGCTTGCCCAGCATGATCGTTAGAAATCACTGCAAGAGATAAGAGTTCTGCAAGCTAGCCAAAAACTCAGCGCATCAGAGAGGCGGATTTTGGAAGGGTCTTGTTCACCTGATGCTACTGGTTCCAGGTGCTCTGGGAAAAACAGAGAACTCAACTCTCACGTGAGAGGAGAACTCCGAACTCAGAAAGAATAGCGTGCTCATAGGCAACCCTTTGGTAAAGGGGAGCACTGCTAATACTACCACGAGAACAGCCCACGGAGCGAACCCGGACGCTCGATAGGAAGCAGCATGCTCATAGTAACCCTCAATGGTGAGGTTAGTAGCACGGAGAGCAAGATCTGTGGTGCGGCGCAGCTCAGCTACCTGATCAGGAGAAAGGCCCTCGCCTTTATCCAGGTCTTTCAGCAGATCAGCCTGATACGCCTGGAGCACCGCCATAGTGTGCAACAAAGCCACAGCCTGACCTGCTGCTGCGTATGCCCTGCCATTTAAGCGCGATGTATCCTGGAGGGGCTTAGATGGCAAGGAGGGAGTATTAAGGGAGGATGTCTCGCCCGAAGAGAGATAGCTAGCCAGCGTCTCTTCTACAGGGGGCATCCTCCTCTCATAGCCGTTTTCACGCATCGCCTCGATGTTGGCATAACTCGTATGCTGGAATCAATAGATGCGAGAAGAAAACGGCCTCTTCCATTCCTTTTCGATTTCAGTATGCAAATCAGGAAGGAATGGAAGGCTCACCTGAACTGGACGGTTATGGTCAGAAAGATAACGCTCATCAAGACGACCCCGCGGCGCCACTCTCTTGGCCCGCTTCCAGGGCAAGTCTAGCCTCGCCGTGGCGCGATCCATAACTTCCAACAGCTCATCATACGCAGGGCAGGAGAATTGGGAAGGCTCAGCCTCAGCCTCTTCACCGTCCTCAGACATCTCCTGCTCTTCCTGGGCAGCAGATGGCTGCCCCTCTTTCCTCGAAAAAAGAGACAAACAAGAGCAGAGCTTTTTCATCGAAAAACGCTCACAATGCACGCAAATCGCCCGCTCAAGGACGCGTGCTCCTCGCCCAAACACAAAACGCAGAGATCGTGTGTGTCATCAGGTGTCAAATAGCGACGACATGGATGTACACACCCTCTAAACGCTCTGCTAGTGCTCGCCATAATAATAGATCGTAGATCGCTCTTACCATGTTCAAATGCACATTTCAAACAAAACAGTCAATGAAGACAAAGAAGAGAATGACATGTTCTCCCGGCGCCTATTTATACTATAGTCGCACCGGTAGTGACGTCATGGGCTGTCGCCGGCCAACGTGTTGTTGGTGTTTTTTCAATGTATGCTTCAGACACGGGTCACGATGAGGCGTTTCCCATAGCGATCCCTAGAGGACGCAGTTCGAAGTTCCCTTGAAAGGGAGCTACGGTTACGAGGTAAACCCATAGGAAGTATTGAGGTTATTGTGCTTTAACTACAAATACCACAGTAAAACCATGGTTACTGAGGTAAACCCATAGTAAATATTGAGGTTATTGCGCTTTATCTACAAATACCACAGTAGAATTACGGTTACTGAGGTAAACCCATAGTAAGTATTGAGGTTTTTGTGCTTTATCTACAAATCCCACAATAAAACTACGGTTACTGAGGTAAACCCATAGTAAATATCGAGGTTATTGTGCTTTATCTACAAATACCACAGTAAAACTAAGGTTACTGAGGTAAACCCATAGTAAGGGTGGAGGTTATTGTGCTTTATCTACAAATACCACAGTAAAACTACAGTTACTGAGGTAAACCCATAGTAAGTATTGAGGTTATTGCGCTTTAACTACAAATACCACAGTAAAACTACAGTTACTGAGGTAAACCCATAGTAAGTATTGAGGTTATTGCGCTTTAACTACAAATACCACAGTAAAACTACAGTTACGGTGGGAGAAACATGGTATATTTTGTGGTTACTGTGCATTTACTACACATGACATGGTCGAGCGACAGTTACGTTACTATGGTAAAAATATGGTAAATGTGTGGACTTTTTTATGGTCCATTTTTTAGTGGATGACGTCACTTTTTTTTGTCAAAAACATTGAAGAAGTGGAGAGTGTTATTAATTGTATAGATGACTTTTCTGAGGTCTCTGGATTAAAGATGAATAAGATTAAGTCAGTTTTATTCTCTCTTAAAGATTGTCCTTTGAAAGAAATTAATGGGATACTAATTAAAGACACTATCACATACCTTGTTATAGTAATATGTAAAGATTTGAAGCAAAGAAATTTATGAAATTTTAACCATATTGTTGTGAAGATTAAAAACTAATCTTATATAATATGTGGTTAATGAGAGATTTGCCCTTATTTGGCGGTTTTTCTGTTGATGAAATTTCAATAAAATTGGCAAGCTTATAAAAGCAGGCACTGTTGGCTTGGCAATTATTCTATAAGCAAAATTTTACACCACATTGGTATTTTCTGTGAAATAATATCTTGTATTTAAAAAATAAATAAATAAATCTATCTTTAATCGTATGACAATGGATTATTTACTGTTAGTCAGTTGCTTAATGAACATGGTTTGCTTTTGACATACTCAGAATTCCTTAAAAAAATGAAATGAAACCAAAAGACTATGCTGTTATTTTTGATGCAATCCTTAATGGCTTAAAGTTGTAAAATGATTATTCAATTCTGGATATTCTTCTGTTAATGCTGACCAACAATCAATGACTTGTAGTTATATGATATTTATTGCTGATATTAATATTGTTAAAGTTAAATGCATTAACAGATATATTAGAAAAGTGTTAAAGAATAATTATGTGCATGATCAACAGTCATTTGGTCATGAAAACACAGTGGAAGTAAGTATGGGCAATAACAAATACGTTTTTTTTTTTTATATAAGTAATAAAGTAAGAGAGGTATCTTTTAAAATATAACAGAATTTACCCTGTTAAATAGTTATTTTAATGGTTCGAAATTGTATAGGGAAAACTCTTGTGACTTTTGTGGTGTTGCTAAAGAATCTGAGATTCATCGTTTTTTCAGTGTGTATACTCAAGATTATTTTGGATAGATGCCTCTAACTTTATTTCTAAGATGCATGGAACATTAATACAAATTTAAATGTATGATGTCATATATGTTGTACACTCTATATTATCTGATATTTCGTATGTGCATGCTCCTGTTAAGACTAGAACTGTTCCTTCCCCTCATACTTCTCCCTGGTTTACCTCCGAACTTCGTTTCCTTAAGAGCTCCGGTCAATGGCTTGAGTGTCTCTATAGGAAAACTGACCTCATTGTTCATCACCAAGCCTTTCTTGAACATCTCAAAAATGACAAATCTGCTTTACACCTAGCGTGTTCTAGTTTCGTCTCTGCCTTGATTAATAAAGCCAGTAACAGGCCAAAAGCACTATTCAACACAGTAAATAAACTTACCAAACCCCCACCTCATGATGCTGTAGGTTCAGATTAATTCTGCTGCTCCTTTCTAAATTATCTTCTGGAGAAGACAGCTGCCGTCCACAGGGGCTTTTCGAACAACGCTATCAATTTTAGCTTTGTGCCTAATCTCTCTGGTCATTCCCTGTCCTGCTTTTCTCTTACCAATCTGTCTTCTGTCTCCGAGCTA